GGCTTATCATCTCTGGTTTCACACCCAGCATCAGACCTCGCCGACGCCACCGTGTCTGTGCCGACCTTTACTGCACAGCGCGCACTCACAGCTGACATTGAAACTCATCGTTTCTATTCCATTAATCCAACATTAAAACGGTGTAACAGAGACACGTAGCTGTTTATTCTTACTCAGAACTCACAGATAGTTTTAAAGTCTGTTACTCCGTTGTAGTCGTCTCTGTTTGTCCACCAGCGCGATGCAAACAGGAACAACAATCAGGCTTTTCAGCCTTTTGTGTTTGAAATGACGAGTATCGGGGAAAAGGCAGGTAGAAGGTGAGGTAGTCCTGAGACATGTTTGTTAAATACAATAAGACAGGGCTGATGTTTTAAACTTTTATTAGTTTTTTATTTAATTTGTCCTACAAAGACGGATCTTTGATAAATATCCCAGCCACTGTGAACCCGCCTGTACGTCACGGCCTGCAGGTGGCAGCACTGTAGCTTCATGTCTATGTGGTGCTGCAGGTTAGTGAACATGTCGTTCACTGTTTTTGCTTCCACAGACCGGCGGGACGCCATCGACTCAGCGGCAGGAGGAAGCTCAGAGCTCACCTGGTGGAGGTGGGGCAGAGGATGGTGGCGTTTGTATCCGGGCTGCTGATCGCGTCTCTGTACGGACTCATGACTCTCTTCCTGCAGAAACAGCCGCTGTGGTTCTGCGCCCACACCACGCTGTGCTTGGCTGGTCTGGCAGCGTTCGGTATGGGGCTGTCGGTCAGCGTCAGGGCCAGCATCATGGTCATGCTGCCCTCCATGTGCTCAGGTTTGTCAGCGACGCGCCTTCAAGGTTTTATACTGATCCTCTCTTTGTTCATCGATATAAATCTGACATGCTGTAGAAGAGAAAAACATCCCAAAAATGACAATATTGTGTGTTGTAATAAGTCCTCATCGTTAGTGCTACTACTACTAAAGAAACTTATAAACTCTGTAAATTAAGAATAAAAATAATTTAAAAACAGACATTTCTTGGATGACATGAGGATGGTAGTGATCCCGTCAGCCCAACTTCTTTTAGTCTCCAAACAGAGGACGAGCTTCCGATAACAGCCAGAGCTCTGAAACAGACAGCAGAGCTTCTAACTGAAGTCAGAGCTCTCAAAAAGCTCCTGAATAAAGTTACGACCACAGGTGACGCCGTACAGAGCTCTCGGAGACTGCGCGCCAATATTCAGATGGTGAAAACTCTGAGAGGTCGAGCTGTTATTGCCCTTTAAAGCTCTAAATAAGACACTTCTGAGCTCCTGCACAGTTCAGTTTGAAAACTTCTGCTTTGAAATGATCAAAATGACATCGTCACACGCAGCTCTCCATCTTTGACCACGACGTCACTCGCTGTGTTAAAGGGAACAACTTTAAGAAATTCAAATTCATCATGCTGTTCTTGTGCAAAATCTAGATATGAAGTCAAGTAAACAGTCTTCTGGTATTGTGGCGCTTACACTACCGGTCGAGTAAGATGAGCTTCCAAAACAGAGAAGCATTTCTAAATGACGTCATAGCTCAAAGGGATGAGTTAGGACTCATAAATCAAGTTAGAGCCTCCATGTTGATTCAGAAAAAACGTGACTCTCCACTAGGGCTGCCACGATTGGTCGACTAGTCACGATTACGTCGACTATCAAAATCGTCGACGACTGATTTAATAGTCG